ATATAAGCAGAGAGTAGTAGGGGGAGAACATGCTACTATAGGGCTCTGGGTGGTCTCTCTCCTACACCCCTACTCCGGTAGTGGAGGAGGTAAACGTAAACGTAAACAAACCTCCTCCTACACGCTATATACACCTCCACCTTAACATACAAGTGCAGATATAAACACACATGTCTGCCCACACATGCAAGCACGCACGCAAGCCGTGTACGTGCACATGCCCACTAAGGGTTCGCATACATACACCTTCTGCACACTCTTACACACACCTCCTGCACACTCATACACACACCTTCTGCACACTCTTACACACACCTCCTGCACACTCTAACAGACACCTTCTGCACACACTTACACACACCTTCTGCACACTCCTACACACACCTTCTGGATGGGCAATGTAGACCACGGGAGTTTTGGTGACGCCGCTCTGTGTGTTGAACTTAGGAAACAGGCGAGTGCAGATGTCTTGGCAGGCAATGGCGGGCAGCAGCGGCACAATATCCTGTGCACGTGCAAGCAAAAGGAAAAGCAATCGTACACGTCCGTGTGTCAGGTGAGTTTGTTGGGCACAAAGTCGTATGTATGTGGTTCGAGAATTAACTTGGGAATGTCAGACTAATTTTTAATGTCAGATGCATGTCTTATAGAGTTTAAGGTTTGTTTTATTGTCAGAAACATGACTTATAGAGTTTATGGTTTGTTTTTACTGTCAGATACATGTCTTATAGAGTTTATGGTTTGTTTTTACTGTCAGATACATGCATAGAGTTTAAGGTATGTTTTATTGGTATGTGTCTTATAGAGTTTAGCGTTTGTTTTTACTGTCAGACACGTGTCTAATAGAGTGTATGGTTTATTTTATTGTCAGGTATGTGTCTTATAGAGTTTCGGGTTTGTTTTTACTGTCAGATACATGTCTTATAGAGTTTATGGCTTGTTTTATTGTCTGGTATGTGTCTTACAGAGTTTATGGTTTGTTTTATTGTCTGGTATGTGTCTTATAGAGTTTATGGTTT